AATTCAGAGTAAGAGACCTCGTAAAATTCTAAGACACTAAAGCTTGATCAGAGTTTCGAGAAGAGTTCCTATCAGGTAAGACCGCGATGTCGCGTTATTTTTCGAGCAAATCTAATAAAGCAATTCTAAAAAAATTATAATTCCGCCACCTTCTGTGGTTCAGCGTCTCTTTGACCGTCCGTTGTAACGTTCATTTGATTTCCTCTTTCCACGCGGATGGATCCGCAAATGTCGTCGAATTTCGGGCAGATTCGGAGCACGAAGTACGCTGCACACGCCTCGACTTCGAACGACAGGATCGAGCGAAGTGAGAGGCGATCGCGGCGTGCAAGGCGCTCGGTGTTACGCAATACCGCGATAGGAATCGGGGGTCACTCACTTCGTCGACTCGCGGGAGTCGCGGGCGGTATGCACCGTGATTCCACGTGCAGGAAGGAAAACCGTCCAACGACACCTTTATTGAAGTCGCGAGCAATGACAGACTCAAACTTAATGGATATTAATACAAAGGGGTCTACGTAACGGTACAGCGTTATTATCCGACTCAGCCGTGCCATTACAGTCAACGGGATATCGTTACTGTTATTACGCTAATTATACAACTTTTTCCGTTTTACTGGTGGACCAGCGTTTATAGGTCGTGCTATTAGTGCGCTCCCACTGCGCCGACGCTGGCACTTAGGCGTTGTGTTTGCGTGAACTCCAAATATAGTAGAATCGTAATTTTTCACCGGCGTGATTAATATTCTAATACATTTGTACGAACAACGATGTGTACGCCCTCGATTATACCTAAAGTATTAAAGGAAGCAGACTCGTTCGATGTGCACTTTGCAAATATAAATACACATAAATGGTACCGAAAGGAACGCCTTTTTTTTTTATTTCACAGTTGATTCGTTTTACTCGCAAGAGACCACAGACGAAGATTTCTCTCAGGAAAGGCAATTAAGCGATAGGACGCGTTCGGAAAAAGTGAATTCAACGGAGATCGCGTATCAGCGCTCGTTGTCGGTAAACGGATTGACAGGTCGACGCGCTGTACGCGTCGTTATCGGTTTTTTCACCCCCCATGCCGTGAAACGAAACTACTCGAATGGAAGCCGGAGTCCCTCATTTCATTGGCCAGCTCTGATAGAAACCATCGAAGGTACGAGTTGGAAATCCGAAGGAAAACGCTGCGAACGTATCGCGAATGCAAAATCCAGCGTTATCGGTGGCCCGACGGTGGCCAATTATTCAAAATTTCTCGCGTCGGACGTAAGAGCTGGTGCAGCGTAACGCGTTACAGATTACAAAATGCAGGAAACAACGCGGTGGATCGCACTTTATCTTCCCAACGTCTTATTCGGCGCACGTGGTTATTTTCAACGTGGCTCAAGTACGTGGGAGTGGAGGATTCTCGGGGCCGTGTAATCATCAACATGCCGTGTATCCGGGCATTGAATTCGAGGATTCTCCTCGCCCTCTTTCGGATTCTCTTCATTGTGCATCTCCCGAGCGGCCGTCTTTCGCAACGCGAAAGACCAGGACTCGATCACCAGAGAGAAACCCGCACATCCGACGAAAGGGATCGATCGTGTAATCGATCCCCTCGAGATAAAACGTGATGCAACCACCTATTTAGAAATTATTTTTTCTTTACTTCGAAAATCTAGTCGAAGCGCAGCCTCGGACAAGGATGTCTCTATGAGAGACTCTCTAGTCCTGTCGCTTCGTTTACAGAAGGGGATAGTCGGAGGAGAATATAAACAGAGAAGATGCGAATTAATTGATAGAAACTACAATTGTCGGGTGCAACAAATGTATCGTTGATAATAGTAGTTTTAAGAAGAAACTCTCTAGAGTCGTTGAGACTGTTGTTGCGCGCGTTAACTCAGCTCAAGATGCGCTTAGCGGTGTACCTATAGAAAATGGGTGACTGTTTGTCACAAGGGAATCTGTCTGGGGTACTGCGATGCGTTGTAAATGGAGAAGATGCGAATTAATTGGTAGCCACAAGAATTGTTATCAAAAGGGTGCAGCAAAAGTGCATCGTTAATAATAGTAGTTTTAAGAAAGGGTGAAAAAGGACGAAGGAAAGGGATTACTTGAAAGACGATATTCGAGCAAAGTGTTGTCGCGTGCGGTACAAATAGTAGTTTGAAAAAGAGATAGACGTCCTTCGAAAGCGGCGGTCCATCCAGGTCCTTCCAACTATAAGACGCGAAAATACGATCTGAAAAATTGATGGGAAAGAAGTCTCCTCTGTGCCTGCTTCTCGATCTGAAAACGTGTACATTCCGGAAGGGAGAGACCAACTGTATTTTCCAAACAGACAAACCAGCCTCGCCACTACTCCTTAATTAACTTAACGAGCAATCTACAGGGTTGATTACAGTTGTTGGACCGCGATGTAACTCTGTTCCGAGTGGCGACAGGAACGAATCCTGGAAAAAAATTGTTCATTGTCTAATGACTCCCATTATCCAACGACTTCCTTTCCGAGTGCCCTTTCAAAATTGCAACTACGCTTTCTTAGACTGAAACAATCCCACAGTCTTAACAGAATATAGGAAAACGAAAATGCCGAAATTAATATCGCCTCGCTCCTGAAATCGTAGGATGCGAGTTTCGAGCAGTGAAAGTTTGAAAATCGGATACCTCCCCGAACTGATAACATCGTAACAGTCTGTCTGCAACGTCGCCAGCCATTCCGCGTCGATATCCACGAGCAAACGAAGCTAATATTAACAATAATAGCAATCGCATCGGAAGAAAGTTCATCCCGGTTTTATTTTCATTCGTCCTACGACGGATCGATGAGCGAGTATCGATAAATTTAGAACCCTTTCTCTGCGCTACTCTTCGATACGCGCGGCTAGGATACGTAAAATGAGAAGCACGAACGAAGTCCTTTCGTTTTGCATCCGTCAGCGGTGTCGTTCCTGTTTGACGTGATATAACTGATCGCACACGTGACTGTATTAACACGTCAATATGGCGTGTACAGCGGAACAGTGTCGTAGGAGAGTGTATACGTATACGCTCGAAATCGCTCGGGGATTTTTCTGCGCGGCACCAGTGAAAGGGAAAGATACTACCAGTTCAGGAGGCCTAGATACCCGAGATCTGTCTATCGTGTACACCTCATTTGCATTCAGCAAAGTTCGCGGTACGATTTGGAACGTTTGGAAATTTCCGTCCGCGACGAAAACTTTTCCATACGCGAGTACAAACGGTTCCTGAGTCGATATATAAATTGACGTTGCAACGTGCTTGGAAACAATTTCTATTCCCTTTGGAAATGGAGAAGTGGATCTTTGAAAGCCACGTCTTTATTCGTGTCACTCGCGAGGGACTACTGTTGGAGCATCGAATCTTCTATACAGGAAATGCTACAGGGGTGTAGCTGAGACGATTCTGAACCACAATTTCCTTTGCAAAAATGTTATACGGTGCATCGTTTTCGAATTATTAGCGAAAGAGCGTCAACCAATCACAGCGCCCGAGTAGCGCGCGCTCTCGGTTGACTATCTACGCGGGTGCTGCGATTGGTCGGCGATTTTTCGTTAATAATTCGAAAACTGAGCACCATCCAACATTTTTGCAAAGGAAATTGTTGCTCAGAATCGTCTCAGCTATCCCCAATTTTCAGTTCTTACGCTAATTCTAAGACACCCTGTATATTACATCTTTGGAACTAAACGGAGAGTTCTCTGGTTTAACAATCTTTGCCAACAGTTTTATATTTAGAAAAAAAAAACATGTTTCGTAACATCAGGAAAATATCAAGAAATTTTGCAACTCGAGAGGTTCCCTCTCGATTTCGTTAATGTTCGCCACGTGACCGCATCGATTACTGAAAATCACCGTGCCACTCAATTTATGCTTATTCATCTCTAATCAAGAATCTGGAAATTATAATATCATTTACGAACGTCAATTATTCGAATCGGTTAACGACGAGCGATCGTGAAACATTTCCAGCGCTCGGATTCGAAGGGAAGCCTTATAACGTAGAAAGTCCATCATTTTTCTCTCGTCAGGGAATAATGGAACGTCCCGGGAGCAATCTGGGCGCGATTCATCTGCTAGTGATAAAACAAATCGTAAATTTCTCTTACTTTCACCCTCGCACCTCTCGCTGCGCGATTACATGCATTGCTACTTGGGAAGGAACACGAAGAAATCGATGCTACGATGTTTCAGAGTATTTGAAATCAAATGTACAGGCACAGAATTAATTTCGATGCTTAACAAATTGACGCAACGATTTCCTGCAATATCGTTGCAGAATAATCGCGAACGTTCGCCGATCGATCGAAGAAGTTTACCGATTAGAACGGATCGCTGCTCGGTGTCCTTGCGAAACTGGTCCAGGAGAGTTCGTTGATTTTCTTCGCTCCGTTGCCGTGTTACGAGACCCGTGATTGCAAACTAATTCGTTTTCTCCGCGAGAAATCCACGAAATGGTCAACCATAAATCGCTAAAGTTCGCGATATCCTCCTCGCGACTCGGATCCAATTAATTCTTTTACGTTCGTCAATTACGATCCCCCACTGAGCCGTGTGACACAATTTACTTTATCTTAATTCGGCGAATTGAATTGCAGAAACGAAATACTAATTTCACAAAAGGAATTCAACGAAAGCCGTAACGGAAGTCGCAGTCACGAGACGCGATTCTCGCGGGCTGATTTTGGTGGACGCATTTCCGCGTGTCGTCGCGGAAACACGCGATTCGAGCCACGAAACTAGGAACTTAGGCGCGTACGTGTCTTCATTTTGTTCCTTCTTTCCTGTCGTATTAGAAAGCACCGATGCGGCGGCAAAAAAGACTGCGACGATGCTCGGACATCGTGCTCTCGGGCCTTTCTCTATTTACTGGCAGCACCTCGAGTGGCCCTACTGGCCATTCTTATAATGGAGCCCGTACACGAACTGCCCTTTTAGCCCTTATTAAACAGAGACCGCGTCTGAGTAGACCCGTTGACTTATCCAGGTTTTACTCTATTTAGGTCGCCTGTAAGAAAATCGGGACCGAAACATTGGAAGAGGACCGAAGAGGTTCGAAAGAGAAGAGCAGTCGGCAGAAGCGTATCAATCGGTTAGGATCATATTCGTCATAATCACTGCTCGCTCGCCGAGTGTCAAGAGGTAACAAAGGTCATTCGATGTTACACAGGTTGACTGTAATAGAAAATAAATTGTTTCAAGGCACTCCTATTTAATTTTCTTGTTCGAAACTTTCTTTTCGATCGCTAAAAGTAAGCGAATTATTCAGGTGGGCTTTCGAGTGCCTCACCTTGTACAATGAGGATCATGAATAAATGGACCCGACCGACAATGTTCCACGACCTCGGAGGAAGAAACAGGAGGGGCATCTCGATGCTCGTGGATTACAGAGGTCTCCAGCGCCGTAATTACGTTATTGTCTCTCCGTGATTATGCTCGTCGGCGCGCGTGCTGCGTGCCCCGTCATCGCTCTTGAATAGCTTCCACAGCGAAGATCATCGCCTCTATCCGAGCGAATCTCGAATGAATTTAGATTCAACCGCGATAGTTTCGCGAAATGAAGCGTGGCGCCACGTGCCGTGTTTATCGCGGTACAATGAATGAGTGTAGCCGCGCGCAATTATTCCGATTATCCTCTTGCTGGCATTCGTTAATTGTAACACCCACGAGAAAACGCTTCTCGCCATTTTGCTTTTTAAGGTAGATCACGTACGATTCAAGATCGCAGTGCACGTGTCTTTCTCTAATGTTGCGAATTATTACTGGAATATTTGTAAATGTCAAACTTTTTCTTTTGTTTCAAATTCCTTCCGATCCCATTTCTCTATGGCACCTGCTCAATCGAGATTAATGCACGATAGAAATAGATTTTTATTTCTCCTACATTTGTGCAAATATTGCAAAGGTGCGTGTGGTGTGGTTTGTGCCTGTGGAAGAAGATCGAGAGAGGAGAAAAGGAAGAGAGTGTTTTCGTCCTGGACTTGCTCTAGAGGACTCGTCGGTAGCTTATATACGAACGTTAGGCAGGACCGAGCACTTATGAGAAACACGCGGTGTCCGTGTCCCTCTAATGACGACGACAGGAGATGCCACCACAGGTGAAATGTATTAGGTTGTCCCAAAAGTTTCTTTCGCTTTATTAATAAGTAATACATGCACAATAGTTTGTTTTATGTTACATTACTGAATTGTGCGCGATTCATTTTGCTCCATTACTGTTACAACATGAATATCTATGAAATTAGATTGTCTATTTATATAAACACGACCACGTAACATAATTGAGTGCATCTCGCGAAAGAAACTTTCGGGACAACCTAATAAATGGACGTTTCTTTCGCTGTTGAAACCGTTTTCAAAACGCGTCATCAACTTTCACCCCGACGGGGGACGTGTCATTTAAAAAAGGCGCGACTGCTTTTACATTCCTCGCCCACAGTTATTGAATATCTTCTCCGTAACGAAGATTCCTAGCGCCTTCCTAGCGCGATCCTAGATCCTTCTTTTACTCGAAATGCCAGTGTCCAGCGAGTAGAAGACAATTCCGCGTCGCGTTGGCTTGCTTTCCACTGTTTAGATTTCGAGCGCAGTTGACGTCATGGATTGTTGTTTTTGCTGAGGCGTCGTAGGCGTCGAGATTCATCCGCGTCGCGAGGCGACAGGTGAGCCGAGAGCAGGAGAGAGAACGGAGATGAAAGAGGAGAGGCACGCGTGCAAGGAAAGGCCAACGTGCCATGGATGAGCAATGAACTTGACCGGAAGTGGGTCAGGTTAAGTCTTCCTCGAGCTCGGCGAGCATCGAGACGTAATCCTTCGAGTATGACTTGCGATACAATGATTTTGTTATCGCGAGCCAATTATGTCACTTTCGGAACACCTTTTAGTAACTAAAAGTTGCACAAAGAGTAATTAAATATTTACTTTACGTTTGGAAAATACAGCATGATTAATAACTGAAAATTAATTTCTGGCAATAGCTGAATTAATTAATAACATCTATTTAAAAAATGTTCGAGAATATGATTTTTCTCTAATTTCTTTCATTCTTTTTCGATGGATAAGAAAGCTTGAAGGGGATTGGTTGTCGCGCGTCACCAGAACCGTTTCGATATCCAACGACAATAGAATCGAACGTTAATACTTTAGACAACTCATATTCACGATCATTGCTTGAACAAATATTACTAATAATTAATTTAACCGTTGTCAGAATATTTTGTCGATCCGATCAATAGATATTACAATATTTCACGTCACTTCTGTCGAGAAAGTTTTCAAGTACGAACTTTCTTCTACCTTTTAAAATCTATCTTATACAATTATCGAACCGTGTTCGACACGCATGCGTTAACTACGCGCAATAACAACCTGGCACGTGATAGAAAGTGCAACCTTGAATTAATAAAAGTGATTTAATTATGCGCTGTACATACAAAAACACAATAAAAAGATGTACAAATACGTTTGGCTATATAATATCTTTAGCTTTAATTAAATACTGATCAGGAGAATCCGAGAGCTAATATTCCAGCGGTAATTAACAAAGTATTGACGCGACGAGGTCAGAATTTCTCCAGCTATCGCGTTAATTAGGCCACGTCTGTAATTTTCGCGGAAATCCTAGAAAGGTGGTGACGCGTAGCGGACGATCGCGAACGCTTTTGCAAAATCAATCGTCGTATGCGTATCGAGGAGCGTGTAACCATTGAAATGGCCTCCGATCGAGAGTTGTTTCGCGTTACGAAATCATTGTTTGGGATCGTGCGACCAGCGGTGGCCGACGTGTAGCGAATCCGCAACGAAACCCTTTTGTCGTTCGATCGCGCGCAAACGTTTCGTACGTGGCTGGTACCGTTTGCTCGTTATTGAACGTAACACGCGAATTCCGTGTTCAGATTTTTACGTTACGTTCGACGTACCACTGCTTCGTTTAAGTTTATCGCGAAGCACGTGGTAAAAATATCGGCTCTCTGTATCTTCAAAGTATCTTTATCGGGCACGAACAAAACACGCAACGAAGTGTGTCAATTAAATGGAAAAAATGGAAAACGAACCGAAACAACGTCGATAGGTCACGGTGAAAATTGTAGAGTAAACGAGAAATATAACGATAAGGAAGAGGGAAGTATTATGCACGATTAAAATAACGATAAGGTCGTTATACCGTTGTCGATTCGTTAGCGAATCTACGGGGTGTGTTCTCGGTAACCACTTCAGGAATGGATTCAGCTTCCTAACGATGCAATATAACTTCGAAACAAAGCGAAATAGGTCACGTGTTTATACGAACTTTGTGGATTAATTTCCAACGCTGAATCCATCTACGAACCTGGTCCCACCCGTGAGATACACTCTGTTTACTGGTTTATTTAAAATATGTGGTACGTCTACGACGACTTCCAAGCGGCTTTCTGGACGGACAGCTTTCACTGATCCTCGCTGCCTGGTATATCGCACACGTTCGTCGTCGAGTGGCGACGTTTGTGCAAATTAAAATAAAACAGAGTACTGACTGACAATAAAGCGACTGACAATAAAATTTACAATTTTTACATCTCCTAATACATCATCGTGAAAGTGTTATCAATGGATTGGTGAGGATTTCCCGATGAAAGCGAGTTCAAACACGACCCCATTCGGTCGACTTTTAGTTATACGCAATTCATAGTTCTTTAAAAATGGCTGCCAGAACGTCAAACTAAAAGTGGTCCGAAGTGGGTCGTGTTTGGGGTCATTTTCATCGGAAGGACCTCACGAATACATTAATAACACTTGCGTAAGGATATATAAAAAAAAAATTTTCGCGCCCAAATAGGGTCGTGTTTGGACTTTCTTTCGTCGGGAAAATCTCACGAATCCATTGACGATACTAAGATACCATACGAAAGCGACAAATTCTGATTTTTATAAGCGAATGATTCCTACACTCAATAAAATTACTACCCTTCCTACGTGGACAGATACAGAACGTAACGACTAAATATAACTCGTGCCTCGCCGCAAGATCAATTCAGCGAGACTGAAAAATATTTTTCTTGGTTTCTACTTCGTTAAATTAAATGGATAGAAACGATATCGGTCCCGTATCTGGGACGTTGCTCGACGAAGGCCAACGAGCACGTCTTCGTGATTGTCGCGATCTCTCAAATTACTCGATCCCGCGATATTACGTGTAAATAAGAGGCTATGTAATTCGGGTTGTTGGTGGGGTCGAGATAAAGGTAACTTTCCCCGTTGGAAATAAAAAAAAACGTAGAATCGTACGATTCACGGAGGTGAAGCGTGTCTCGTGGGAAACTCGACTGGGCAAGAAGGCGGAACGTGGACCGCGATATAGGTCAGCCAGCGTAACAATGCTGAACTTTAGCACATCCGCGCGGAATCGATCCGCGACCGCTGCATCCCTCTCTTCCGCGATGGGGACCAATCCAATGACATACTCATTAACCCTATAGTACTCCAGTGGGGTCTGACATTCCCCAGTCGACAAATATTGCTTTACAACCGGCGGAGAGAGCTCTCTGCACAGGTTTCAAGTAACCTCGCCATGCACGTGTCAACGTACTCACTCTTAGAACACTGATGAACGAAATTCCTAATTGCATAAATGTTTCGTCAGATAGCGGAATTTCGAGACCACTAAAATCCATATGGATGCACTGGAATGACATGCACTGACCCAGGTTGAGACTTGGAAGATTCGTACTAGGCTGAAATGCACCACGCCGAAACTCGGAAAAAGCAGCGAGCCTGAAACGTGATTTTCAAGTTTGCCCCGAAACATCATCACGAGTCACCCTCGTGATTTTCAAGTTCGTCCCAAAATATCATCACGAATCAGCCTCGTGATTTTCAAGCTCGGCCTGAAATGTTCATCGCGAGTCAGACTCGTGAGAATAGTGCAATGTAACAAAAATTAGTGCAGTTAATTTCTAATAACAATACATAACACAACACAGGTCAAGTTTCCCGAAAAAAATGAATTCAAATTACAGTCGAACAACGTTCCCATTCGGTTTCATCGCCGCTCCCCCCCCCGGTAAGAGTCGTTCGAGCGAAACGCGAAATTCGTACGGCGCATCGGTAAGTGGATCGCGTTACGCGAAACCTTCGACTTGGAATTTTAATTCGCCGTTGCGTCACGCGTTGCGCGAGTAATTGAAAAACACTGGGAAATAACAATTACGGAAACGTTGAGCGAGGTACGAGGCTGGCTGGAACGCAACGTTTGACCTTTGCCGTTTTCTTGCCGTGTATTCTTTCTTACCACCTCCCGTCTACACTTCCCAGTGGTACAACCTTTCCCGTTTTAACGTGGAATAATTTACGGTATCGAATGGTAACGCCCCCGTCTTCGTAACTTCAGTTTCCACGAGGATACTCGAGCAAACGACGCGGGAAACTCGTTGGAAGGAGCTTTTCCTTTACGGCGAGCACGTTTGGAATTGACTTGGTACCGGATTGGGAGCAAGGGACCTCCGTTTCCACTATGACGTGCACAGGGTGTCTCGAAGGGTCTCGAGAGTTCTCTAGTAATTAGACAGTATGTGTATTTTGTAATAGTTCTGTTTCGCGTTCGTCTATCCTGAAGGATCAGGTTTTACAGATTATTAGATACCAGGGTC